GTATAAATTATTATGAAATATATAGTAATAGTTATTAATTAATTTATTGCCTATACAAATGTGTAAAGAACAGTAAAACAGTGTGGAAGTGTGAGTTCATAAGTAATTACTTAATTAATAATATAGTTAAACAATGCATAATATATGGAAAAGCGTAAACAATAATAAAACAGTTATGAGTTAAGACTTAATAATATTGGTTTTGTACATTTTAAGAAAATAGGTACTAAGATAAAGAAGAAGACAGAAGATAGAACCTAATATTGTGGTTTTACTGTACCTAATAAGAAATGATGGCATAATGTTTAATGTTGGTATTTATATAATTTATGGTAAGATAAATAATATTATAAATGATGGAATTGATAATTTTATTTTAATGATGAAGATTGTAAAAGTTTTGAGGGTTAATTTTAAATTTAACACAGAAATTTACAGTTAAATTCAATTTACAATATAAACAAACATGAATGTATTTAAAAGAATAAAAACTAAATTAGCACTAAGTAGGTATTAAAAACCATATCACCAAAAATAACATAGATCATAATGTAAGGATAAACAAAACAAATTTGCTTCGAAGATTTTCAAAATCAAAATTATACAAAATAATTTTCAAAAAATAATTGATGTGTTACGTTTTATTTATATTAAATGTTAAACGTGGGTTACCTCTTATCGTTTTAACGGTAGTTATTACCACCTGCTAATCACATTGAATTTGTTGTGTTTAATTCATTGATTCATTAAAAATCAACTAAAATGTTCGTTGTTGGTCGCCTTCTCGGACAAATACAAAGTGCAAGTGAGATTGAATCAACGCTTGCAGAATAAATATGGGGCGCTATTAACTTAACATAAACTTTTATAATATAGTATTATATTATAAGATTAGTTAAGGTTTAAAAGTGATTAGTTTTCAGAATTTTCTTAAGTTTTAGATAAAATCATAGACTTAGATTTAGATTTCAATGAGAAGCTTTTACTCTTTTAGATAATATGCAATTTTACTGAGTGTCTGTAGGTATGTATTTTGTTATAGCTTATAGGTATTAAAATTGATATCATAATTGTTTTTATTGTTTTTATACTATTTATCGCGTACATAATAGTTATTATTTACAATTTAAAATATTAAGTATTAACCAATATTATTATTATAAATTATTATATTGTTGTATATTTTATTATTTTAATGGAGCAAGCTAAATTTAACGTATGAGAACGTCCACCTACGTACATGTATTTTCTCCTCCTTACAATGATTACAACGTAGGAAATTTATGTGGAAAATATTCTATCTGAATGGTTGAAATCTCAGTGGAGTCCAGTGAGATTATGCCCAGAAGACAAAATATAAGTAAAAGGTATGTAAAAACGTTTATATAACCAGTAGCATAAGATTAATTTCAATTTTTTGAATACGTTATTTATGTATAAAGCATAAATCATAATTAGGGACCGGATTTATATGCAAATGCATATTTGTATTGGGATAAGCTTTTTGAAATCTGATGAAAATTGTCCCCCATTTAGATCACTCTTATTAAAATAACACTAATTTTATTTTGCATATTTCAACGTTTTTACCTATTAAATGCATATTGAATGCATATTTGTAGTTTTAAAATGTATATTATTATTTATAACACATATATTCGTTTTTCGTCGTATTTTCACGTTCACAGCCACATAATATCAATAAAATTGACACCGGTCGTTATTTCCAAAAAATCTATGTGAAAACCGCGAAAATAAAACAGTGAAAACACTAATAGCGAAAAGTAAGAAAACCTATACGTATATACTTACAGATAATCGGAGGAATTTAACGTTTGAACACATTAAGGAACTTCTGATCATCCAATGCAATAAGGTAAAATATGAAATCAATTTTTGTTTCAGTTTTTATTAATGTGAGTTAATACTTTATAGATTGAAGATGCAGAATGTTAAATGGCAACGAAGACGACAAAATACTTTATAAGCTTTTTTTATACTTTTTTAATACCATATTAATTAATAAATATTGTTACATAATTTTACATAATACATATCTTTACATAGGTTTAAACAAAACTTTAAATGCATATTTAAGTACATATTTCATAACATATTACAGCATTATTAGAAGCATATTTTGAGGATTTTTTGTGCATATAAATCCGGTCCCTAATCATAATTATATATACAGGGTAATTCAAAATTTATGTTACAACCATTTTATCATATAAATATTCAAATTAGTGAAAAATATATGGTACAAAAGTTTTTTGATTTTGAAACATCTATTACGATTTCATATTTTTATAATTGTTTACAATATTTTAGGGGGGTTTTGGAGGGTCAACTTAAGAAATTCAAATGGAAACCTATGATTTTTTTGTAAACATAATGTGAAGACATTTTTTAAATAAATTTTAGTTCATGAATAACATTAATTGATGCAAAACTCTATTCTTGAAAGCTATTCAAAATTTTTAGAAATTGCATTTTAAATTATTAACCACACGACGCGCGCTAACAGGTAGCAAAATAAATGGTGTTGTCACATCGCTATCATACGATTCGCATCTCTTTCTCGAACCCGTATCAGAATAAAACTAATAATAATAATAATTCAGTCGTGTTCACGCAGTCGTAGCGTACAGTCCTGTCACTGTGCGTTCCACTGATAAGTAATCTCGGTCTTTAATAATTCTAATCCTAATTAGTGATCTCAAATTTCGTCGACCTCGGGCGGCAATAGCCGTACCGGTCAATCCCCAGCCACAACCAAAATCAAGCACACAGTTACTACAAATCCTGCCTCAACTCATGGATTCAGCACCATGGGGAAAAAGGGTAAAGTATTCAAAAACTCCAATAATCCACTCTCACCTAGTCTTCAATCAATTATCGAAAACCCGCCGTTATTAAATACATCTCAAACTACTTTTAATTTCAATGTCGTAACCGATAATACTAGCATACCCGATTCAAATATCATACTTGATGATAATCAAACAATCGAACACACACCGGTCGTTAGCTTATCTACAGATAAAACGCCGTCGTCTCCAGTTACCAACACTGATATAGATATGCACGCAACCAATTACAATAATAATATTCTACTTCATTCTTTTACACCGGATTATAATGGTCCCATAATTATACTCGCCGAGTGCATCGATCAAAATATAAACATGGGTAATTGGCATCCTATAAGCGCTGCTAAATTCTTCACCAAAAATTTTATTGGTATCTCCAATATTAAACCTGCCGGTTCCAAAAAGATAAAAATTACTTTTAATTCCACCCCTCAATGGCAATAATTGCTTAAATTCTGATATTCCGCGTTCTAACGGGTTTCACGTAAATATTCCCAGCAGCCTCATATACTCGTATGGAATCATTAAACTAGATATTAATATTTCCGAAGAAGAATTTTTCGAGGGTCAACGTTCACCTGTCACAATAGAGGCATTCAAACGCATCTCTATTCAGAAAGATGGAAAAACTATCCAAACTCGCACAGTAGAACTGAAATTCATTGCACCTAAAATACCATCCGTCATTTCTATCTACAATATGATATTCGAAGTTATGCCCAGCATCCGTTCCCCTGTCCAATGCAATCGTTGTTTAAGATTCGGACACACCCAAAAATACTGCCGTAGTGAAGCTAGATGCAGCCACTGCGGTGAAACCAAGCACTCAATAGACTCGTGCCCCTCCACACAAGCCACCGACCCGATATGTCTACACTGCAAACTTCCTCACCTTGCCACTGACCGTTCCTGCCGGGAATGGTTACTTCAAAAGGATATAAAAAAAATCATGGCGACAGAAAACCTATCCTACAAAGACACGTTAATATTTAAGAAAAATAAATGTTACACACCAGCCTTTAAATATTCCGATATTGTAAACTGCCAGCCTCATATCTCTGAAAACATCGAAATCGACACTTCTCTCCAGAATGATCACTTTCCTAGTCTAAACAATTCCCACCATTTCTTCAATAATAAAAAAAAAAAAAAAAAATACATATCTAATCCATCCCAGGTGCACAATAATAAAAAATATTTCTTACCTGTTGATTCCTCTTATACCTCCCCAAACGGGAGCTACTTAATTAATCCCAATGGCCCAATTAAGTCACCCGATGAAAACGATAATGACTTCTCCTGGATTCACACCCTATCCCTCAAATTATCCGAATCTCTTATAAACGCACCTTCACTCTCCTCTCCTTTTTCCCCGTCTTATCTTCAGAACCTAATTGAGTCATCATTAACTTCCCTCCTCGCCGTTCCAAATTTTGTTACAATCGACTAGGTAATGTCCATATTTTCAACGATTCTATAATTCATAATAACTAAATTACCTAAAATTTCAATAATAAACATCTCATTAACAACTACAATATACTGCAATGGAACGTTAGAAGTATTACAGCCCGACTTCCTTCTTTACAGCATTTACTCACCACTCACAAATGTTCCATAGCCATCTTATCGGAAACCTGGCTACTTCCTTCACGTACTTTTAAATTACCAGACTTCAAAACCTTCAGATTCGATCGACCTGATGGTTATGGCGGCGTAGCTATTGCCATTCATAACTCTTTTAAAACTAATCTTATTCTCATTAACGACATTACTAGGGATAGACTCTCCCATCACAATATCGACCTCATCGGAGTAGAGGTTTTAGGATCAGATTCTTCTAATCCTTTAAAATTATGGTCTTGTTATATTCCTAACAATATAAATGTTCCTATCAACCTCTGGCAAACTATTTTCAACCTAGTAACGCGAAACTCTCTACTATGCGGTGACTTCAATGCCTTTCATCCCGCATGGGGATCAAACTCATTTTCACGTCGTGGAAATCATATATACAATATAATTGACTCACTTGGCCTCTGTATCTTAAATGACGGCAGTCCTACCCACATTGGGCGCTTAAATTCTACCGACTCAGCCTTGGATCTCTCCATCTGCTCTTCCGATCTTATTTGGAATCTATCTTGGCATACATTAAGTGACCCTCATGGCAGTGATCACATTCCGATCATAATAAAGTTAAACTCAAGCTCTACCACTAACATTTTTCTCTCCACTACCCATTCTGACCCTAGCCAATATAAACCAATATACTATAATTTCAATAAAGCTGATTGGGCAGCCTACTCTCTCCTAATACAAAATTCATTTTCCGCCCTATCAGATAATATATCCTCAACAATGTCCTATTCATTTTTCACTAATATTATAACTAATTCCGCTAATGCAACAATACCCATCAAAATACCAAATAAAAAAATATTTCCACCCTCCCCTCCATGGTGGAACCCCACCTGCACGAAATTGGTCAACAATAGATCCCTACTTTTCAGAACCTTCAGACGTACCGGCTCTATTACTGATTTCCTTTCATATCAAAACGCTTGCGCCCATACTACTCGAACTCTTAAAAACGCCAAGAGAAATAATTGGAAGCATTTTTGTTCAAACTTAGTACCGTCTAATTCCATACAACACCTCTGGTCTGTTGCCAGGAGATTTAAAAATTGTATAACTCCCCTAACTCGCCCCGACAATGAAGACTGGTTCGAAGTTTTTTGTTCCAAAATTGCTCCCTGTTACGTTCCAACCAAATCCGAATCCCTTCTTCGTTACGATCACGATGTTTCTCCTACTCATATCCTTACTAATAATTTCAGTATGTCCGAATTAAATTATGCTATTTCATCACGTAAATCCACCGCATCCGGTCTCGACAACATCTCACCGGTTATGATAAAACACCTCCCTGCTATTGCATTAGAATCTCTCCTCGCCTTAATGAATAATATTCTTTCAACCCAACAAATTCCGCCCTCATGGTGCTCCTACAAAGTCATACCAATTGCTAAACAAAATTCCAAAACCTCTTTTCGTCCTATAGCACTCTCTTCCTCATTATGCAAGATATTTGAACATATGCTTAAATCTAGGTTAGACTGGTGGTTGGAAAACAATTCAATCCTACCTGATAATCTTTTTTCCTTCAGAAAAGGAAGGGGTACAACCGAGTGCCTCTCTTCTTTCACAGGAAACATATACCACTCCCTTAATAACAAAGAGTTCTTTGTAGCTACCTCCATTGACATACGTGGTGCTTTTGATTCAGTCAACATTGGTACTCTAATTTCATATCTCAAATCATTATATGTTCCTCAACAATTCAATAATATACTGATCGCTTTGTTTAATAAAAGAAACCTCGTTTTCTCCTCGCCTTTTGGATCATACAATTCTCGTTCCACTTTCACTGGACTACCACAGGGTAGTTGTATAAGTCCAATACTTTTCAACATTTATATGAGCATTATCGCTAAGCATCTGACTAGGCTGGGTCATAAGTATCTTATATACGCCGACGATATGGTCATTTTTACCTCCAATAAGTCTATTGATCTTGCTATTACTCTTCAAAATCAAATTCTTAACGACCTAAAAGTTATTCTGGATAAGTTATCATTCGAAGTCGCCCCAGAGAAATGCAAATCCATCATTTTCACCCGACGTAGATATCTAGATCCCCAAAATACATATTTCGACAATAATATTATCCCCTATGTTCCCAATATCACTTATCTAGGTATCATCTTAGACGCCAAACTACGTTGGAAACCACAAATTACTTCTCTCTCAGCTTATGTTTCCCGATGGTCCAACTTCCTCAGGTCGGTAACGAACACCTGGTGGGGTTCCCACCCTTCTAGTTTATTAATGATCTATCGTTCCCTCATACGGTCCAAACTAGATTATGGTTGTTTTCTTTACGGCTCAGCATCTTGCTCAAATTTAAACAAAATAAATAAACTCCAAATCTCCTGTTTCCGAAATATCATGGGTTACCTAAGATCAACCCCCTGCCCAGTTATCGAAGTAGAATCAAACAGTGCTCCCTTTAACATCAGATGCCGATGGCTAGCCAGTAAATTTCTTTTAAAGCAACTTGCTCACTCCAATAATCATATTTTTGACATGTATTACTCACTATTCCTCACTTGGCGTTACGTTCCGAAGTCATTACCAATTCTCTCATTAACAGCTAACTCTCTTTCAAATTTTCATCAATACATTCTAAACTCCACCAAACTCCCTCTTTATGAACAATCATATGAATCTCTACTTTTTTCTCCGCTTGTTCAAACTGAAAATAATTTCTCCTCCCTATCGTCCAACGATCTACAAGCCATATCTGCACCTATGATAAACAAAATATTCACAGAATTCCTCAATACCAACTTTAGTAATCATATAATAGTATATACAGATGGATCTGTCTCACCCCTCTCAGCTGGTTTTTCATTTTATATTCCTGAACTACATATTTCTTTTACAAACAATTTACCCCCTTCTTCGTCTTCCTTCACCGCTGAATGTTATGCCATCATAGAAGCTCTAATTCTTATATCAAAGTTGGCTCCTAATAATTATCTAATAGCTTCCGACTCCTTGTCCTGTCTACTAGCTCTCAAATCCAACCCCTTCAATTCCCTTCCTTCCTCTCTAGCTCTCCGTATAAAACATATTACTCTCACACTTCACCAGTCTCATTATTCCATTCAATTCCTGTGGATCCCTAGTCACATAGGAATTTATGGAAATGAAGTAGCCGATAATCTAGCCAAATCTACGTCTTCTTTAATTTGTCTTTCTCTTACCCAACTCCCTCATACAGACTTTACTCCTACTATACGTCATCACATTAAGCACCTTTGGTCCTCCCAATGGTCAAATCTCCCAGAAAAATTTGCCGCTAGATATAAACATATAGTTCCCATTATCCCACATAAAATCTGGTTCAACAACCTCCATTTATCTAGAGCAACTATCGTCCAATTTAACCGCCTACGCTCAGGTCACACAACCCTGCCTGCTCATGCCTACAAACTTGACTTAAATGATTCCCCATTCTGCACCTTACACATAACTGAAATGCCCTGTGATCTTTCTCACATCCTTTTCGAATGTCCTTCTCTATACTCAAAACGCACTACTTTGTTTAATTCCTTAAAACCCCTTAATATCTCCCCTAATCTATATTCTATTCTCAATTCTAATTCTGTAACTGTCATTAATTTAATAATAACCTTTATTCTAGAGGCTGGCTTTAGAATTTAATTTTTGTAATATTATATTTTGTTTTGTATTCTTTCTCGTTTATTGTATTTGTATCACTTATTAATTGTTGAGCTATAATTGTATTTACAAAAAGCTAATAAAAAAAAAATAAAAAAATAATAATAATAATAATAATTTTTTATTAGTTATCTAATTGATCATAATTATAATTTGTTTGTCGATGTTTAACCCCAAATACTAAATATTTATACAGGAGTGAAAGGGTTGACCTGGGGTACTCCGTGAACCCAGCCATAATAATGTTTCGGATCCCTGTTAAAAAAAAATATACATATACATATAAATAATACTTAAATCCATATTAAGTATTGTAAATTATATTTTCCTTAAAAAAAAACCCAAGTCTTTATTACATTTTTCACTAAACTTAAAATTGACATTAATTAATAAACTAATAATAGTTCTCCTCGTCATATGAAAATTGAAAATTGCAATGGATCAAAACGTATAAAATAAAGAATACATATGTATTTTGATTAATCTTTTATTTTACTGTTACTTTTTGATTGAAATACCATTTATTTATGGTAAAGAAATATGACATCGATAACAATGTTTGATCTTATCGAATATAGCCTACCTAGTACCTACATGTACCCATTTGGAGATAATCTGTACAAAAGCTAACAGCTTTTATTTGATTTTATTAGATTTTATTAGAATTTATTTATATTTTCTAACTTTTTGTTAGTCTTCAAAACTAACAGTTTTTTTATTTAAAATGTTTGCGGCATATGTTTCCAAAAACCCGACTTTTATTGGGTCTGAATTGGAATATTATAAAATGGTAGCAGAAGCCGCCGAGTCGATTGTTAATGAAAATGAGGAATTAAAGCAAGTAAGTAATCTATTATACAGACTCTACACAGTATTAGTAGTATTACAGTTAGATGTAAACGAATAATTTAAGATTTAAATTAATTTAACGTTTTTCATAAAAAATATTTTTTATTACTCTTGAATTAAGTTTTAGTTTTCAGTAGCTTTTTTCTATATAATTAACTAGTTTACTCTATTTCTTTACAAAAAATAGAATATATACATATAAAAAAAAAAAAAATAAATAAAAAATAAATAACAATAAACACTTAAATACACTTGTATTCTTATAACACTTTTTTTAGAAAAATTATGTACTTATTTCCAAATCATCGGTGATTTTAAATGAAAATGAGGCATACGCTATCACATTTTAAATCCAAATAGAAGCAGTTTTAAATAAATTATTATACAAATATCAGTAGAGTAATATGGTCTTTATATTCTTTGGTTTTGGCAATAAATCCAATATTTATTGTCAACTGTAATTTTATGTATGTTGTATCTAGGACTCTTTAAAAGACATGAATATTGAACCTGTAATTAAGAATTCAATAATTCTTATAAATAAAATGGTCAGCGATAAGATGAACCAAATTGAAAATCAAGTTTGTGCTAAATTTGAAAATATAAAACTTGGTCAATCATCTACTGCTAATAAGCCAAAAGTTCAAGAACATGTAAAAATTAAATTATTAAATTATAACTCAATAAACAAAAATGTAAATATGCTTATATGTATAGCGTGTTGAATGGTGGTGTCCGGTTAATTCAACATTTGAAGAAATAATTAAAACAATTAAGCCTGAAACCGAAGACGATATCAAAATAATTCGACGTGCAAAAGCTAGAAATTGGAAAAAGGGTGGTCAGGTAACTAAAATACAAAAATGTATAACACACTAAAAAAAAAATATCAAACAAAATATTGAATGCAATTATATGTGTGGTATATTGTATGAATTTTATTTTAGATTCGATGCTGTACAAATGACAGATTGAAAACTAATACGACATTATACGTTTTACCATCATGTTGGCCAAAAGAAAATGTTGAACTCATAACAGAATGCTTATAAAAGTTAGAATAAATACATGCGTGTACAGGTTAAATACTTATATTCAAAAACTATGTTACAGGACAGTTAAGCGTAGATTCAACATTTTCAATAATGAAGCCAACAACCAAAAAATTTACAAATAGTGACCTTTTTGACGTTTCTGATGAAGATTTGTGTTAATATTATTTATTTAATTTAATAAACACATAAATTATGTATCTTTGGCTGTAGTTAATTATTTTATATTAATAACTAGAGTTCTAATTTGCAATTAGAGATTTTTATTATAAAACAAACCTACAATAATACATTTTTAAAACTTGTCAGTGGAAAAATGGTAGAAAAACAATTAATTGTATTAATAGATTTATTTACAATGTGTGTTGGAAAGTTATTTTATCTTATAAATATAAGCAAGTGCTCAAATAAAAGTCATATCTAAGTTTTGACAATAGGAGGTAATCAATGATGTAATCTGGTTTATTGAAATAAGGCATTCAATTTGTGTGTAGTTATCTAGTTATCTGAACATTTGGTTTACACGGCTATAAGTAAAAAATACACCCATATTATTTACCTGTGTATACCTAGATATGCACAGTATACACATTTAATTTTAAATTTTCCAAATTTTAGTATAATTTTTGTTAAAAATGGTTAATTTTTCTTACAAAGAACAAACTGATATGGTTCAAATATTTTATGAATGTAAAAAAAATAGTAGACATTCTGTGGCAGCATACAGGGAACAGTACCCAGATAGACGTATACCATCACACATGACGTTTAAAAGGTTAGTAGATTCCTTAAGACTTAAAGGAAAATTTCCTGATAGTAAGCATGATCGGCAAAAAAAACAAAATACCAAAAACGAAGAAATTGAAAACCAAATATTTATGTATTTTGTCGAAAATCCACATTTTTCAATAAGGGAAGCTTCGGTATATTTTAATATTTCATACAGTCGTATACAGAGAATTTTGAAAAAACATAAATGGCATCCCTTCAAAATCACCTTAGTACAACAACTAAGAGTTGGTGATGCTGATAGAAGATTGAGTTTTATTCAATGGCTAATAAATAAAAAAGAATTAGATCCTTTAATATTTAATAGTATACTATGGACTGATGAATCAAAATTCATGACAAATGGAATCTTGAATCGTCATAATGCTCATTACTGGACCGATGAAAATCCTCATTGGATGAGAGAATCTAAATTTCAAACCTTTGATGGAGGAGTAAATGTTTGGTGTGGGATTATTGGCGATCAATTAATAGGTCCATATTTTTACAGCGGTCAGTATTTTTTTTTAATTTCAATAAAATATTAAAACTTCCCCCAGGGGAACACAGTCATTGTGTTACGGGTTTGGCGAACCCGGGGCCCCGAGCTCCTTCTCTCCAAGGTATGGAGAGTTGATCGTAGGGTTAACAACCCTACATCGTAAAAAAAGTTTTGTTCAGAAACCACCAACAACAAAACCTCGGACTAGAGAAACGGATAACCCAAATGGAAAACGGAAACGGAAAAACAAGGAGATTAAGATCGCGACTTGGAACATATTAAGCTTATATCGTGCCGGAGCATGTCAGACTCTTACAGAAATATTGAGTCAGTATACAGTGTCAATTGCGGCACTTCAAGAAATCAGATGGACGGGAGAAGGGCAGATGAAGATTAACGATTATATCATTTATTATAAAGGAACGGATAGACATCATTTTGGGACGGGTTTTGCAGTCCATAAGAACTATGAACCCTGTGTACGTGAATTTAACCCAATATCCGAACGAATATGTACGATACGATTAAGAACTAAGCCCAAAGAGATATGCTTATACATGCACCAACGGAAAATAGTGATGGAGTAGATAAAGATGAATTCTATGAAGAAGTAACCAGGATTTACGACAGACTACCCGAAAACGTAATAAAAATCGTGCTAGGAGACGCAAATGCTAAAATAGGAAAGGAATTAATGTTTGTGCCCACTATTGGACTAGAAAGTGCCCACGAAGAGAGCAATGACAATGGTCAGAGAATAATATCATTTGCAACACCTAGAAGTTTAGTAGTCAGTAGCACTACTTTTCCTCACAAGAACATACACAAATATACCTGGAAGTTCCCAGACAGACGGACTATGAATTAAATTGACCATGTATTGATTGCAAAGAGATATAGATTAAGTATAACAGATGTGAGAAGCTATAGGGGCGCAGACTGCGATACGGACCATTTCCTAGTAATATGCAAGTTCCGTCTCAAACTAAAAATAGCAAGTAGGCATTTTCAAAAAACACTAAAATTCAACATCGAGGAACTAAAAGATGAAGAAAAGAGACAAAAATATATCACTGAGATCACAGGTAAATTAAACGAGAGACAAGAAAATGAAAATGAGAGAAAAGCGAACTGGAGTACCATAAAAAAGACCATACTCGAAGCAGCTCATAGCACACTAGGGGAACCAAAAAAGCGAGAGAATAAATGGTTTAATAGCGAGTGTAGGAAGGCCGTAAAAAAAAGAAGTGAAGCCCGCCAAAGATACCTCCAGCTTAAGACCCCGTTAAGCGAAGAAAAATATGAAGAAGAACGGAGAACATGTAAAAGGGTCATGCAGAGGGAAAAAAGAAACTACATGAATGAACTATTGCGTGAGACAGAACAAGACCACTCACAAGGTAAAATACGGAACTTTTTCGTTAAGATTAAAAAGTACAAACAATTCAACCCTAATCTGAAAGCTGTCCGGGATATTGATGACAACATCTTAATGGACCCAATTGAGAAAGTCACAAGATGGAAAAATTACTTTGAGGAACTACTTAATAGTGAAGTACCAGTGAGACCAGTGCCAGCATGGATAGATCATAGGGCGGAACAGGAGGTTAATGATGTATCCATGCAAGAAGTCAAAAAAGCTATCAACAGTCTGAAAAATTGGAAAGCGCCTGGAACAGATGAAATACCGGCCGAATTAATAAAATATGGCGGGGAAGCACTACACCAAGCAATATATGAGCTATGTCAAAAAATATGGAACGAGGAGGAACTCCCAGAAGAATGGAACAAGGCCATTGTGGTACCGCTACACAAGAAAGGTGATAAACTTAATTGTAATAATTACAGAGGAATATCCCTGCTGAACACATCATATAAGGTGTTCTCAATGATATTACTTGGAAGATTACAACACTTTGCAGATGAATGCATAGGGGAGTACCAATGCGGATTTCAAAAAGGGAAATCGACAATAAATCAGCTGTCGGTGATTGGTCAAATTATAGAAAAAAAGTTTGAATATAGGCAAAATGTGTGGCAGGTATTTGTCGATTTTAAAAAAGCCTATGACAGTATTCACCGGGAAAGTCTTTATAATATAATGTACGAATTCGGAATTCCAAGCAAGCTTATATCCCTGACAAAAGTATGCATGAATAGTACAAAATATCAAGTAAGAGTCGACAACGTACTATCTGAAGAATTCCAAGTGGT